TTTGCCAAAATCGACTTACTTGAGCAGGTACTAACCCCGCCCACCCACCCTCTATTTTCTTAGAATACTCTCATTTGCCAAAATCAGTCTTACCTAGGCAGGTACTAGGCCCGCCCACCCACCCTCTCTTTTCTTAGAGGCCATTTCATCTGCCAAAATCAATTTTATCGTAGCAGCTACTAGCTAGGATAAGACTGATTTTGGCAAATGAAAAACCTAAGGAAAGAGAGGGTGGGTGGGCGGGGCTAGTACCTGCTAAAATAAGACGGATTTTGGTAAATGACATACCCTCTAAGAAAAGAGAGGGTGGGCGGCGCTAGTTCCTGCCAAGGTAAAACTGATTTTGGCAAATGAAATACTCTCTAAGAAAAGAGAGAGAGGGCGGGTGGGTGGGGCCAGTACTAGTTAAACTGATTTTGGCAAATAACATTCCCTAACAAAATAGTAGGCGGGTGGGGCTAGTATACTATCCTCAAACATATTTGGCGTTTATGACTTCACACCAATTTGACTCCCATTATAATTCAATAGGCCGTCACAACCGGATGTCTTAAACCCGCTCACCGATACCTACCTGAAAAGACCTTTTCGACGTGCCAGGGACGGTCGAGACGCGAAGGACCGGACTCAGAGTAATTTTGTTTGTTAAAATTTTCAAATGTCAAAATTTCCTTACAGAACATGATTTATACTTTGAAGAAAATTACACAAAGACACAATTATTAGAAGTGTTACACCCTCGAAAATTTGAGAAACAATATAAAACAGATGCTATGGCGCGAGATCGTGGATTTAGGGTGATTAGACTTCCGCCGTACCATTGTATATTTAACCCCATCGAACTAATCTGGTTACAAATGAAAAATAATATAAGAAGGAATAATACGGCACCAAAATTTAGTAGTGCAACAATTGACATAATTAGGGAAGAAGCTTCCAAAATAACTGCCGAAATGTGGGCCAATTGTGTACGACATTCCACAAAAGAAGAAGACCAGTACAGGGCACGGTTGATAACACCGTTAATTATTAATTTAGAAGAGTCGAGTGATGATGACAGTGACTATTTCGATCAATAAATAAGCAGCAGTAGTTAATAAGTAAATAGTTGTGCTGTAATAAAAAATGATTGAGTACAAAGTTACTTTGTTTTTACTTAAAATAAAAAACTCGAAAGGCGCAGTTGTCGGTAAATGCAAAACTCAGTCCTACCCTGTGCTTTTACCAGAAAAGGTCTTTTCAGGTAGGTATCGGTGAGCGGGTTTAAGACATCCGGTTGTGACGGCCTATTGAATTATAATGGGAGTCAAATTGGTGTGAAGTCATAAACGCCAAATATGTTTGAGGATAGTATACTTGCTAAAATCAGTTTCATCTTAGAAGCTACTAGCCCCGCCCACACACCCTCTCTTTTTTAGAGGGTATGTGATTTGCCAAAATCGACTTATTTTAGCAGGTACTAACCCCGCCCACCCGTCCTCTATTTTCTTAGAGGGATCTCATTTGCCAAAATCAGTCTTATCTTGGCAGGTACTAGGCCCGCCCACCCACCCTCTCTTTTCTTAGAGGCCATTTCATCTGCCAAAATCAGTTTTATCGCAGCAGCTACTAGCTAGGATAAGACTGATTTTGGCAAATGGCATACCTTCCAAGGAAAGAGAGGGTTGGTGGGCGCGGCTAGTACCTGTTAAAATAAGACCGATTTTGGTAAATGACACCCTCTAAGAAAAGAGAGGATGGGCGGGACTAGTTCCTAAGATAAGAGTGATTTTAGCAAATGACGTATCCTCTGAGAAGAGAGAGGGCGGGTGGGTGGGGCCAGTACTTGTTAAATTGATTTTGGCAATTAACATATTGTCTAAGAAAATAGTGGGCGGGTGGGGCTAGTACCTGCTAAAAAAAATTTTATCTTAAGAGCTACTAGCCCCGCCCACCCACCCTCTCTTTTTTTACAGGGTATATCATTTGCCAAAATCCACTTATTTTAGCAGGTACTAACCTCGCCCACCCACCCTCTATTTTCTTAGAAGGATCTCATCTGCCAAAATCAGTTTTACCTTGGCAGGTACCAGGCCCGCCCACCCACCCTTTCTTTTCTTAGAGGCCATTTCATCTGCCAAAATCAGTTTTATCGTAGCAGCTACTAGCTAGGATAAGACTGATTTTGGCAAATGGCATACCTTCCAAGGAAAGAGAGGGTGGGTGGGCGGGGCTAGTACCTGCTAAAATAAGACCGATTTTGGTAAATGACATACCCTCTAAGAAAAGAAAGGGTGTGCGGCACTAGTTCCTGCCAAGGTAAAACTGATTTTGGCAAATGAGAAACTCTCTGAGAAAAGAGAGAGAGAGAGCGGGTGGGTGGGGTCAGTACTTGTTTTAAGACTGATTTTGGCAAATAACATATTATCAAAGAAAATAGTGGGTGGGGCTAGTATCTGCTAAAATCAGTTTTATCTTAGCAGCTACTAGCCCCGCCCACCCACCCACTCTTTTCTTAGAGGGTGTCATTTGCCAAAATCGACTAATTTTAGCAGGTACTATACCCGCCCGGGGTATCCCCTCTTTTTTTAGAGAATATGTCATTTGCCAAAATCGACTTATTTTAGGAGGTACTTAGCCCACCCACCCGCCCTTTGTTTTTTTAGAAGGATCTCATCTGCCAAAATCAGTTTTACTTTGGCAGATATTAGGCCCGCCCACCAACCCTCTCTTTTCTTAGAGGCCATTTCATCTGCCAAAATCAGTTTTATCGTAGCAGCTGCTAGGTAGGATAAGACTGATTTTGGCAGATGGCATACCTTCCAAGGAAAGAGAGGGTGGGTGGGCGGGGCTAGTACCTGCTAAAATAAGACCGATTTTGGTAAATACACTCTAAGAAAAGAGAGGGTGGGCGGGACTAGTTCCTAAGATAAGAGTGATTTTAGCAAATGACGTATCCTCTGAGAAAAGAGAGGGTGGGTGGGCGGGGCTAATACCTGGTAGGATAAGACTGCTTGGCAAATGAGATCCTTCTAAGAAAATAGAGGGCGGGTGGGCGGGGTTAGTACTTGCTAATCTAAGATCGATTGTGGCAAATGACATTCTCCAAGAAAATAGAGGGCGGGCGGCTGGGGCTAGTACCTGAAAAGAAAATTCTTTCCAATCAGAAAAACCTAGAACTTCAAGATTGCTTTACATTTTTCAAAAAAAAAAAACGGGGTCCCAAAATTAATTCCAAACCAAGTCCGGTCAGAATTTTCCAGAGATAGAACATCAAAGTCCGCCAAAATTGTTATAAATTTCTAATTTTTCCTACTCACCAGTTGATTGTTAAGAGCGTAGCGTAGCGCCATTTTCTAGACACCCGGTTTAGTAATCGAGTTTATCGCACGAATGGCCACTTTTATATTTTCTCGACGTTTCATGACCCCCACAGTACGGAAAAGTAGTCTCTTGTTTCCGTCTGTCTGTCTGTCTGTATCCATTTTTATTTGGATGAAATGACCTCACTTTTTCGAAAACGTGAAAATACGCCCGTCTTTATTTAAAAAAAATAATATTAATAATATTCAGAACATCCTGTGTTTACTCCGTCCCCTATTTTCTAGAAAATAGAGAATGCGCCCGGCGATATTTAACGATGACAAAGTAATAATTGAAATTTGCGTTCCCGTGGCGTAGGGATTTCAATTGATTACCCTGAGACCAATTTTTTTAACATTAATTGATCGTGATAGTTTTTCTCCCTCACTTTATAAGCTGCTTCAAATTGTGGAAAAATACAGGTAATTTTTTTCCTAGAATATAAGAAGTATGTTTATGCAAATATGTAGTTGATTACATGTTGCATAGAAAAATAATTATGGAGTATCACATTATTATGCGTTTTTTAATTAAAATTTAATAACTTTGTATCAAAATGTAATGCGCGTTATAGGTTCCGAAGGTGGAAGTCTACTCATTTTTTTTTTAATAGATCGCATTAAAAATATGTTGTGATGTTTTCTTGTGGAACTCGTTTAGATCTAGATCGTTGTTTACCAAAGTGTAACAAATGTGTTTACGAACAATTTTATAATGAAGTTAATGATGTGGTCGAAGTTAATGGCCAAAAAATGACCATTTGTATTCAGTTGTACATAGTAAACACTAGTCATTTTAACCGTTTACCAGAATTTATCTTGTCATCCATTCCCCAATTTCGATGACGTCATTTCAAAATTTCACCAAGTAAATCTCTGTATAAATACATATTCACCAAAATGCTTCGGTAATATATTTTTGTTATGACAAAATATAACATTAAACTTAGCTTTTGGTGCATACCAATTTCCCAAAATACATCATAAATTAATAGGTGAGACGATTTAAAAGGAATAAAAACGTATCGTATGAGACTTTGGTTTCTGTGAAGATAACTAGAAAGTTTATTTAAACGAGTGGGAACAGCAACGAAAGTAAACAATATGATAGATAAGTCAGGTGAACGAATCCAACATCGCTTCACAAGCTCAGAAAATCGTATATTATTCACCGGAATTTCTAGATTAGTCAGACCGTATTCTCTGCTTTCATTTTCTTATTCACGTCCTGTTGATGCACATGCACGTTATTATTGCACGAGAAATATCACTTAGGAAAGTCGCCACTTTCCTCACTCGTGACGAAAGTATGTTTGTTCACTACGCGCACAAAACTGGAAGAGGATTATCGTCGACAAACACATTTTGAACACCCATTCATAAACTCTATTTAACAAAAAATATTTGTTCTTAAACATTGTTCTCTCTGCCATCGTCAGTTTACAACAGGTAGCCGGTATTTAATAACTCTAATTGCGTAAATAACCCCGATAAGAAATTCATTATCATTTCACGTTGTGCCGGAATCCTGACGAGTTTTTGTGTATTTTAACGCCTAAAATGTCAACGTGACTTTTTTCATTGTGCGACCTACTTTTCTAAATTAACTTAATTCCGTAGTGAGATGGAGGATATACACATGGTAATCAATTGTTTGCTTCCGTTGATAAATCTTTGTGTTTTTTGGGCGAATTAGCTCGTTATTTTAAACCACGAATCAACATTAATTAATTAACGAGGCGCTTAATCCAAGACGTGCTGGTCAATTTTTCATTGAAAAATTAGAGCTTGCGCGTTTTTAAACTTGTACGCTCAATATTATTTTTATCAGTGTCGTGAGTACACATGTTTATTTTGGGTATTTATAAAGTTGGAGATTTTCTGTACAAACATTATTAGTGGACGTGGAAATTCGGAGATAAAAGTTCCATTGTACCAGATGAAGAAAATACGAGGGCGTTCTGGAAATGCAACCAGGTACAAATTTAAATGCAAATAAGGTTGTTTGTGTTACCATATTGTTGATACCACGCTTACATAATTTTTTTATTGTTATTATGGAAGCATTCATGTGATGTTTATGTCGTATTGTTTCCGTTTTTTAAGTGCAATGACAATAAATTTTCATATTTAATGATTTAGAAAATTGATCAACTAGTCTTTAGTAGTTAAACTGTAGAAGATAAAAGTTGTATGGGTGTAAAGTAAGTCCCGTTTTTTGAACGAAATACAGGTTTGCACTTTTTTGTAACGTATTTAAGTCATTTAAGCACGTACAGATAACCATCATCAGCAAAAATTCAGCAAATTCTGTATTTGTGGTTTATGAATCCGTTTTTATTTTCAATCACAAGCAATGTTTGATTTCAGGTGCGTACTGATTCACTACGATAACCTTAAAAATCTAGTACTTAAGCAGTTAGATATTAAGTTGGGGAGACAAAATCACTTTATTTTCTTTTAACGCAAATGCCGCTGAAGTTTGTTATCTGAACGTGCTAAATTTGAGTTCTGTACTACTAACTTTACACATCTGTGATACTGTTGAATAGCCAGAAACTCGACAACTTTTATTATCTTTTTCATCTGATTGTATTGTTTATTCATTGAATCCTTTCCCACTTTCGTACATTCTCTCTTCCATTCATGTTTCACTCGTTTTGATTCGTCGCTTCATTTTTATTTCTTCTCGAATCCCACTGCTGACACCAGTATCACGATGGACGCGGTTTTTGTCAATTAATAATAGTAATACGTCAACATGCCATTAAGTGTGGTTTTTACGCAGAGGAATATCTCAGCCGATAAGCGAAATATTGCTTGTTAAGCGAAATTTAAACCAACACGTACTAATGCAGCGATATTGTTCTGCTAATAATACTTTTCATCAGATTGTAATTAATTACACCTTATCTGAGTGTGGATTAACAGAATTAAAAGCGAATATACCTCCAAGTGATAAATAAATATGATTAATGCCAACAAAATCGCGATTAAAATACTAATAAAAATCATGCGATCACAGTTATCCAACTTTTCAGTCATTATTCTAAGAAACCATAAACTCAGAACAGCAAGTTTTACGTTTTTTGTTTTTATTCTCTCCACCGCATTATCTTAGCGTTCAATGTCGGTAAATTGAAGAAATCGATTCGACATAAATTCTATCAATTGTTTAAAAAGAAACCTGTGTTTCGCGTGCCGAGAGCTACATTAACTGACAATCCTAGTAATGATAACATGAACAGTTGGTTGTAATTAATATTTATCTGCACTTCAATTATTTTAATAAGTAGTTGGTTGAATAACCAAGTTGTCGTGATATGTAAGAATCATGTTCCTAATACATTTTTAATAACGGTAATTACGTTACGATTCTTTACTTGAAACATTTAGAATGTTTAGAATACCAAACGTAATTTTTACTTAAGCTCAGGAAGGGTTGTAATAGAGTCCGTCTGCCGACTCCCGACTTTTGTGTTTTCTCAACCTTTCATAATTCGTAGAGTACGAAGAAATAGGTCTCCCGTTTCTGTCTGTCTGTCGTCTGTCCGGATTTTTATTAGGCAGATAATCTTCGTTTGATGGCGTCATCTTCAAAATTTATAATAGTACATTTGTTTTTATTATTATGAAATTAGAAACTCCTGTACTTGTGGAGTATGAATCCGTATTGAGTTTTCACCCAAGATTTTTGGAAAAAAAAATCGCAAAATCAATAATTTTTCGAAAAATCTGGATTCATTTACCTTCGACCAACTTCTTGATATCACAATTTTTCGGTTTGTCATTTTCCATTATTTTTCAATTTTCCCCCTTTTCGTTGTTTCGGTTTCATAACTTTTCATTTTTTCGTTTCTTTAAATTTTTCAATTTGCAATTTTTCAATTTTGGTTATTTTCGATATTACAGCTTTTCGAGTTTTGGGTTTTTCAGTTGTCCAGTTTTTAATTTTTTATTTTTCAATTTCCCGATTTTTTAATTTTTATTTTCTCGTTTTTATATCACAGTTTTTCGGTTTTTCATTTCCTTTATTTTTACGATGTTTCTTTGGATTGTATAATTTTTCGTTTATTCAGTTCTTCGGTTTACGAATTTTTAAATTTTTCAATTTTGCAATTTTTGGATTTCTCAGTTATCCGATTTTCTGATTTCGTTAATTTTCAGTATTTGGATTTTACAATATTTCGTTTTTTCGATTTTGCACTTTTTCGATTTTTAAGTTTCCCAATTTTTAATCTTTCGACTTTTGAATTTTTCGTTTCTACAATTGTTCAAGTTTTTGATTTCCAATTTTTAGATTTTTTAAAGTTTTCATTTTATACTTTTTTGTTTTTGCATTTTGGAGTTGTCAATTTTACAATTTTGAAATTTTTCTATTTTTTTGATTCGAAAAAGTTGAAAAATGGAAAAATTAAAAATTGCAAAAATGAAAAACTGAAAAACGAAAAAGTGGAAAATCGAATAACTAAGGAAACGAAAAATCGAAACAAGGAAAAACTCAAAATCGAGAGAAATTAAAAAAAAAAATTAATTAATCGAAAATTGGAAATCAAAAATTGTAAAATTGAACAATTATATGTAGAATCGTCAAAATTGTAAAGTCGGAAAACTAACATTGGTAGATTGAAAAATTAAAAATCAAAAAACTAAAAAGTCCAATAAATGAAAAAGTTTTAAAATCTTAATAATTGAAAAATGGAAAAATTCTAAAATCGTAAAATTGAAAAAGTGAAAAATTATGATTATTATGAGATACATATTTAAAATGAAAAATTTGAAGAAACGGAAAATTGAAAAATCTAAAATTGAAAAATTTTACATTGAAAAAAGAAAAATTATACAATTTGAAAGAACAGTGAAAAACCTATAAAATAAACAAAATAAGGACAATCAAAAACCGAAACAAAAATTGCTAAACAAAAAAGTGAAGAAGCGAAAACTTGAAAAATTCAAAAATTGAAAAATGAAAACTCGAGCAATTGAACATCGTAAAATTGAAGAAACAAAAAAAATATAAATTGAAAACTGCAAATAATTCTAGAAAAATTGAAGAAAGGAAACGAAAAATTGCAAATCGAAAATTTGAAGAAGTGAAAAATTAAAGAATCGAAAAAGTAAAACTTGAGAAATATTGAATTGAAAATTTGCTAGGTCGAAAAATTGAAGTAACAAACAAGAAAGAAAAATTGAAGAAAAGAATCCAAATTGAAAAAATTGTAGAAACGAAAAACTAAAAAATATTGAAATTGGAAAAACAAAAAATTGTAGAATTGAAACACTGAAAAATCGGATAATTGAAGACAATAAAGAAATATAACCTGAAAGAAAATATGCAAATCGAAAGATTAAAAATTGAAAACTCTGGAACGTCAAATTAAAAACTCAAGAATGTCAAATCGAAAAATTAGAAAATCTAAAAATTGAAACATCCAAAAAACAAAAAATTATAAAACCGAAACGAAAATTTGAAGAAATGAAAAATTAAAGAATCGGAAAATTGAAACTTGACAAATTTTAAATCGAAAATTTGCGAAACCTGACAATTGAAGAAACAAAATGAATGCAAAATTGAAGAATGCAAATCGAAAAATTGAAGAAACGAAAATAAAAAAAATGGTAAAACAAAAAATTATAAAATATAAACATTGAGAATCGAATAATGGAAAAAATAAAGAAAATGAAGAAACTGAAAGAAAAATTGCAATCGAAAAATTAAAAATTGAAAACTCTATAACGTCAAATTGAAAACTCAAGAAAGTCAAATCGAAAAATTATAAAGCTGAAACGAAAATTTGAAGAAATGAAAAATTAAAGAATTGCAAAATTGAAACTGAGAAATTTTAAATCCAAAATTAGCGAAATCAAAAAATTGAAGAAACGAAAAATTAAACAAATAAGATTGGGAGAACAAAAAACTATAAAATCGAAACATTGAAAAATTGAATTAGTGAAAAAAATAAAGAAAATAAAAACCACAAGAAAAATTAAAGAATCGAAAAATTGAAACTTGAGAAATTTTAAATCGAAAATTTGCGAAATCTAAAAATTGAAGAAACAAAATGAATGCAGAATTGAAGAATGCAAATCGAAAAATTGAAGAAACGAAAATAAAAAACATGGTAAAACAATAAATTATAAAATATAAACATTGCAAATCAAATAATTGCAAAAATAAAGAAAATGAAGAAATTGAAAGAAAAATACCAATCGAAAAATTGTTAAATTAAAAACTGAAACATCCAAAAGTTGGAAAATTGAAAAAATAAAAAATTAAAATGAAAACTCGAAGAATTATATTTCGTAAAATTGAAGAAATAAAAGAATGAAAAATTGAAAAACTGCAAATGGAAAATTGAAGAAACGAAAAAAATGCAAAATTTGAAATTGAACCAACAAAAAATTGTAGAATCGAAAAATTGAAATTTGAGAAATTTTAAATTGAAAATTTGCGAAATCTAGAAATTGAAGAAACAAAAAAAAATGGAAAATGCAAATCGACAAATTGAAGAAACGAAAATTAAAAAATAAGGATAATAGAATGAAAAAACTGAAAGAAAAACTGCAAATCGAGCATATGAAGAAATGAAAAATTGAAAAATCAAAAAATTGAAACTTGATAAATTTTAAATCGAAAATTTATTGAAGAAACAATAAAAGGAAAAATTTAAGAATGCAAATCGAAAAATCAAGAAACGAAAAAATCAAAATTGGAGAAACAAAAAATAAAATCAAAATATTGAAAAATCGAATACGTAATTGAAAAAAAAAATGAGAAAATAAAAAAACCGAAAGAAAAATTGCCAATTGAAATATTGAAAAATTAAAAATTAAAATCTCGAGAAACCAAGTCGAAAAATTGCAAAAACTGAAACATCCAAAAGTTGAAAAATTGAAAAAATGAAAAATTAACAAATGAAAATTCGAAGAATTGCATATCGTAAACGTGAAGAAACAAAAAAATGAAAAATTGAACA